TGATCTCACTCCTTTAACTCTTGCCCTCTAAAATAATTCTCTACCCAGTAGATCTGTCAAAACACAGATCATATTGTTTCTCTGCTTATAACTCCCCGAGGGCTTCCTCCCATGCTCAGAATATAATTCCGACTATTGGAAGTAGACGGACTCCCAGGAGTATGTGTGACCTGCCTACCTCTCTGGTCCCATCTCCTCGTCCCACCCCAGCCACACTGGCTTCTCGCTCAGACATACTGAGCTCCCTACCACCTCATGGTCTTTGCAACAACTGCGTTCTCTGCCCCAAACACACAGATCATCCCATAGCTACTCTCGCACTTCACCCCGCTCTCCACTCAATCCTGTATTCTCAGGACTCGCCTGGCCATTCTTTCTAAAATGAGGTCCTCCAGCCCCGTCATTCTCTATCTTCTTATCTTGCTTTAATTTTCTCCACATCCTCACCACTTCCTGGCATGATTTTATAAATTATTTATTTCTGTTCCTTACTAGATGTTATTTTCACCAAAGCAGGGAATTCTACCTTAACTCCTAAAACCTAACACAAAGCAGTCCCTCAAGGATGTTACAGGAATCATGACTTGCTTTTCAACACGGAAGCCCCTCAGAGAAATTCCTGTCGCTGCCTCTCCTGGACCCACTCAGTTCTCCCCATTCTTCAGCACGGAAGCCTGTCTTCCTCAGCAGACAGCCCCTAAAACCTTACCTTTAAAAAAAAATTGCTACCTCATCTAAACATAGAATTCTCTCTCTCATCCCCACAAAATACCCCTTTCATTTTCTTATGCATAGTGAAAATCCCACAGTCAAATCATGTTGTGTGTGACCTTTGTGTGGGTTTTTGTCTGTTTTAATCTGCGTCCAGGAGGCAAAGGCTACAACCATCCTTACATTGGTAAGGAGTATTTTGCCCCACATTAGGGACCCAGAATATTTTTAATGAATATTGTATCAGATTTCAATAAGTCCATGGTTAATAGTTGAAAGGGCATACATTTTGAAGTTGAAAATAATTAGGTCCGCATCTCAGCTGTTACTTACTCTTAGCTGGGTGACTTTGGGCGAGTTATCGAACCCCTCTGGGGATAAATATTTGTCAAACTCTTAGCACCACATGTGACACAGTAACTTCTAGACAAATGACACCTATTATTTAGCCAGCCTGCTAGCATGTCTAACAGGATAATATGGAAGATTCACTCACTCAAAGATGACCCTAGCACAGGCCTCTCTCCAAGTAGTTTTTTGTTGCTAAATAGAAGAATTCTGACCCTCCCTTTGTGGAGATGGTATCTGTGTAAGGAACTGTACATTCAATCCACCCACATCTTTTACCACTATAGGGAAGTCTGGGCTTTCTGGTTCTTAGAGAAAGCAGAAGAGCATTTTCTTGACAGCTCCTTCTGGTATTAACCACTTTCTCCTATCCAGTTTCCTTGTACTTGGGGAAATAGAACAGTTTCTTCTAGCTATTTGAAACTTACCTCTATCTTCACATTTTTTTCTACTTTGTTCAAGTTCCACATACACCCATGTTCATTTGTTCGTTCGAAAAGAATCTCTTAAGTGCATGCTAAGAACGGTGCCAGCAGCTATATAAATAGTGCCCAACAAAAGATATAATCACTGCCCTTGTTTAGGATGTAATTTACAGAGTGTACAAATTTTGAGAATTTCCCCATAGTAAAGGTTAGTTTATACTTCTTTACCCTTTATTCCCTGTAACTTCATTTAACTGAAATCAGTGCACAGCTTTGAGATGGAACAGGAAGGCCCAGTGGGGTAGGGGTCAACATACCTGGATTCCAGTTCTGCATCTTCCATTGATAACTCTCAGCTCTCATGATCAGCTTCTTTACCCCCTAATACCTTAATCCTCTATCAAATTATGAGATTATTAAGGGATCCCTAAGGCCCCTTCTGGTAAAAAGAATTCTATTTTGCATGATTCTACATTCCTGTTCTAGGGGAAAATAACTCCTTATACTGGTTTCCACAGATTTTAAAGATCATCATTGGCAATTTTGAACATGTAAGTCAATTTCACACTATTTCACAATTAAGAATTGTCAAACAGAATGTCTTCCCTGAAAAAGCATCTTCTGAAATCAGACTTGTAAGAAGTTAAATGGATGCCATGGCACAGTCAAAAATATGTCATGTCTATAAAGCATGGGTTTCTTTTATATAAATGATCACCTGGAAAGAAATTCGTTTCTGAAATAAAAATATTCCAGCCTCAGTCTCTTCAAAATCTCTATGAATTTGACAAACTCTTTATCAAGAGATGCCTTGTGGTTTTCCAAGCTGTTCAGCATTAGTATCCAAAGGTTTAGCTTCTCTTCCATGAGATGTTTGAATTCCTACAAGAAAAGCCACAAAAGAAACCCCAGGGGTCCGATGTTAAATATGACAAATGACAGAGGTAATATAAAACGCTGTGGACGTTCCCGTCTCAATGGCATTCACTGATCTGGGTCACCAAAATTATAACTGAATTGATACCAATTCTTAGTTGCCCAGAGACTGATCATCCCATCAGTTATCTCAGTTTCAGAAGGAGGAGTTATAAAGTGTCTGTCACGTACCTAAAACTGAGTTTTATTTTCCTCTTTTTAACTGGGTTCCTGACCATTTCAGTAGTCATCATAATTGCTTATTTTATTTTTTTGAGGCAAAGTCTCATTCTGTTGCCTAGGCTACAGCCTCGCTCATAGCAACCTCCAACTCCTGGGCTCAAGTGATTCTCTTGCCTCAGCCTCCCAAGCAGCTGGGACTACAGGCACCCACCATGACACCAGACTAACTTTTCTATTTTTTTTTTTTTTGAGACAGAGCCTCAAGCTGTCCCCCTGGGTAGAGTGCTGTGGCATCACAGCTCACAGCAACCTCCAATTCCTGGGCTCAAGCGAGTCTCCTGCCTCAGCCTCCCAAGTAGCTGGGACCACAGGCGCCCGCCACAACGCCCGACTATTTTTTGGTTGCAGCCATCATTGTTGTTTGGAGAGTCCGGGCTGGATTCAAACCCGCCACCTTAGGTGTATGTGGCTGGCGCCTTAGCCGGTTGAGCTATAGGCACTGAGCCAACTTTTCTATTTTTTAGTAGAGACGGGGGTCTCACTGTTGTTCAGGCTGGTCTTGAACTCCTGACCTCAAGGGATCCTCCCACCTCAGCCTCCCAAAGTACTAGGGTTACAAGGGTGAGCCACCGTGCCTGGTGCAGGTGGGACAAGATAATGGAACAGGATGGGACAAGATAATGCAGTAAAATCAGTATCTATTGATTATCATATTCAAAACAACTTGGGGGGGGAAGGTTAGATTAGCAAAGAGGTTATAATAATATTACAGAGTTTACTTCCTTCTTTAGCTTAACTTAGGGGGAGCTGGTAGAAACTGGGACAGCCTAGCAGTTAAAAGGTAGAAATAATATGTGACAGAGAGATGAGATTTCTTAATATTCTTTCTTCCTTCCTTTCTTCCTTTCTTTCTTCCTTTCTTTCTTCCTTTTTCTCTCTCTTTCTCTCTTTCCTTCCCTCCCTTCCTTCCTTCCTTCCTTTTTCTTTAAGGCCAGTCAAGTGAACTGGTGAGAGTGGAGAAAGAAGGAAGGAATCGGTAACTGGTTGCGATCCGTTCATTGTGAGCACTGCTGCTCTCAGACCAGCCGTACGTACTCTCTAACAAATCTGGGAATGTCTATCTAAGAAGTTTCCATTTTTCCAATGTTCTATGATTTTCTGAGGGGTAGTAAAACTGTCAGACTCTCTGGAGTACGATTCTTTTACCCAAGAATCATGCTGCCGAAGTTAGGAAATTTTAATAGGCCAAGGAAAAATCCAAGTTTAGACTGGTCAGTTCTCACAAGGACACCAATAAAACACAGTTTTTTCATTAAATCCCCTTATTGTCTCTCCACCACATCTCACATAGCCTCACACACACTCACACGTTTTCGCTCTCCTTCATACACGTTCCCAGACGCGCACTCAACCCTCATCATCAGACTAACCAAAGGCTTCAGGAAGGTCTTAGAAAAGGTATTGTATATATTAAGAACATAGGAGAAAAACAGCAAAATCACAAACTGCAGGACACTTACGGTGAGCTGTTTTTCCCACTTTTCTTCCATAGTAATTTCTGGATTATTTACCCACTGTAGGGATTTACCAATGAGAGTTTCAACTTCAGAAACTTCTTCATGCTGAAAAGAGAATTCCACGTCTTCAACCAGTAATTCACATGGAAAGGCATATACTGTTACAATTACCTAATCAGAATTAACTTAGACCAAATTTCCAGTATATAGATAATTCAGGAAGGTGCTAGAGCTCCTTCTCTCCATGGAATGCCTCCCAGGCACCTTCCTTTGGGCTAGGATGCTGCCCCGTGTGCGTGCTAACTCTCATCAGGTGTCTACACGTACTGAGCACGCACAGAATCATCTTCCAGAACAAAACCTGCCTTTTTTAAAATTTTCCCTTTTAAAGAGAAAAAAGCAGGCATTTTCATCATTCGCCAAACTAAATGCTACTTACTCTGTGCTAGGCACTGGGAAAGGGACAGGAAAGACTAATAATTAATACTAATAATCAGTGAATTCATTGATTTCATTTCATTTGAATATGAAAACTCTAATCAGCATAGAGTTTGCCGTGAAGAATAAAAATGGAGAAAGAAAGCCTGGCTACTAGCTAGAAGAAATTATGAGAAGGAAACTGTTCAATAGATACCATGTCTTCAGCCCTTGGATACTAAAGATCGGCCCCTACGAAAAATAAGCTCAAGCGATCCATAGCTTACGGTTGATCTGTTAGTCTGATGGACCCACATCTAGAAGACCGATTTCAGGGAGGTTTGAGAAATGTCTTCTCTTTTCAAAGTAGGAGCAAGCTGGCTCTCAAAAGCACAATATACATTTGGACCTAGCAAACGTACTATAAGGTCAGTTATCTGCAGCTATTCCTAGCCAGAGCGAAACAGCACAAGATGTGTACATCACAAAATACCAGTTTCTGAAGCGCAGCTGTGAATTCTACGCCCCTCTGCCCAGGTTCTCCCAGTAACAGCAGCATTTGGTCCACGATCACGTCCAGAGATGACAAGAGGATTAAACTGCACTGCCACTCGGTTCCTTTGTTCTGAAACAATGACCAAAATGCCCAGAATTCTGTCATCCTAACAAAGAACATCATTTTGACTTTGTGAAAGTCAATGTAATTGTCATCAAGTGTTCTGAATAGTCTCGTGGGATTCTCCTATACTCTAAAAAGAACAAAAAAAACTATTGACATTTTCTCCCTAAAAGGGCTTCAAGTGAACTGTCAAGTTTAACTACACTGAAGTTTTCTGTCTCATGGAAAACTCATTTATTAGTAGGTAAAATTTACCTGGGGGTGATATAAATCATATGACTCTAATTTTAATATGAAAATAGGGGAAGGCAGTGGAATACCCTTCAGCTATTAAAAAGAATGCAATGATGTGGCAGCAACATTGGACAAAAGTGGAGGCCATTATGTTAAGTGAGACAAGCCAGCCACAGACAAATCCCACATGGTCTCACTTGGACGGGGGACTAAATGACGTGTTCATGTGGACATAGAATGTGGAATGCCACACAACGGGGGCTGGGAAGGATGAGGGAGTGGAGGGAGCTCAGGGATGAGAGATTACTTAATGGGTGTAATGTACATCATTCGGGGAATAGATTACAAGAACAGACTTCACCACTGCTTAATCTATGCATGTAGCAAAATTACACTTTCACTCCACAAATGTACATAAATATAATCAATGTTAAAAGCAAACATAGGAAAAAAGATAGAAATTCATAGGGGGAGAAAAGCTGCTGGGGGAGGGGAGGCTGATCAATGAGGGGAGGCTCATTTTTTTCTCTCTCCCATTCATAAAAGCTACTCTCAGATGACGTTTGACAGAGTATGTTCCCCAGACTGCCCTCAAAGTCTCTGTCTCCCATACGATTTGAGATACACGACAACACATTTAACCACCGATTTATTTTCTGTCTCTTGAAAATGGTCCAGAGGACTCTCAATTCCAGACCCCAGTGAAAAGGCAAATCTCCTAACTCAGCTGGGTAGACTCAGAGCCAGAACTCTGCAGACCGATGACCCCTGTTTAGAAGGATAGGACTTTCTGGGCTGGCATCCTGACATCATTATCATCTCAGAGGACTGAGGGTAAAGACACCCTGCCATGGCAGATTTGCCATAGTTCCCTTCAGTCTGGCAGTTTGGCTTGGTTTCAAAACCACAGTGAAAGGCTGATGATTTGAAACAGACTGTCAGGGAAGCACGGCCCTCAGCAGCACGTCCAGGGCTGCCGAGACGGCTTCAGATGAAGGCGGCATATGCTGTCCCTGCATCCTTGGCAGGAGCCATTTCAACAGCGTTTGCCCCCGAACCATTCCGCCTTTCCTTTCAAGGTCACTCCACAGCTGTCAACAGGAGAGCATTCTGACAAATCCATCATCCACAGACATGCAGAGAGACGGCTCCGTGGTGACAAGAAAGCGATTTGCTACATAAACTATGTCCTGACATAACATGCACAAAACCAGAAGAGACAAAAGGAATGAAAACATGGCATGGGGAAGGGGACGGCGTTTTTATCTCCAGGCTGGGTTTTTGAGTATTTCCTCCCATGTTATAAAGAATTGGGTCTACAAAACAAACTGATATTTAAAAAAAAAAAAAAAAAACTAATAACAATTCATTTTGCTACTTTAAAGTTAACCAAAACACATATTTTTTTTAAAAATCCCAGTTTTCTGTTCAGAATGTAATAATTAAAGTCTTTAAATTGGGTTGGTACAATTATATCCTAAAGCAAAGAAACTTGGCGTTGTTTCTCGCATATTTATTTTTGGTGAATAACATTTAACTTTGGGGGTTTGGAAAATACTAAAAAATAGCTCACGGATCTCCACCGTTACCTCTGAGAACCCAGGCTGGGAAGCAGTCTCTTCTGACCAAAATCTGAATATAAAGATTTCTAAAGTCTCACTTTGCTGGACACACACTTCCATCAATCCCGGCTTGAACCTTGACATAGCTTTTGGCTATAACTTGAAAACTGGGCCTTCCTTCAGGCTAAGAGCCTTTAGACTTGGATTCTAAAAATTATCACAAAATTCCTGGTGGTTTTCGGCAAGCTAGGTACCTTGTGTTCACCTTAAGTAAGGTCCACACTGTAGTCAGTTATCACGTGGGTATTTTTCAACGTTTTCCATCGGATTATCGTGACCTACCTCTTCAGACTGAGCAAGAAGGAGTTCATAATGTAGGGATTTTTCTTCGGAGATGAGACTCTTAGGTTGTCCACTAACATCCCATTGGATCTCATTTCTAGAAAAAACAAAAACAGTCTCCCAATCTAGGCAGGTGTGCCTCCCACGTTACATTTCAAGTCAGCAGACGAGGGTTCCTTCATCACCAATCAGTTAGCACTCCTGTGTGCCAAGGATTGTACAAAGGGCTTGGGAATACGGAGAGGAGAAAGAAACAGTCTCATCCTCCAGGAGCTGCTCAGGTGAGTGACAC